GTTACTTTTAATAATCATATAATATTATTAGGAGTGGACATATAACCATCTATTAATATTTCAGGAATATTATTTAATATTATATAATTTTTAGTAAAATATTATTAAAATGTTATATTTAATAGTCTGAGAATATGCCTAAAATATTATTTAATATTAAATAATATTATGCGCTTATAGAGCAGCTCCTAACATGTTCATTGGTTATGCTTGATCTTGCGGAATCTTGTTTTCTGATTGGTTGCAGAACGTCGTACGACGAAAATCGGATGCAGTGTGAATCCAACAGTTTACCTTACACCGAATATGTAGCAGAGAAGGATGTAATATTTCATGCTATCTGTAAAAAGTTGTAAACAATAAACTCGTGTGGAATCGTTCACAAATTTACAACTTTACTTGCGAAACGCGGTTTCATGAAGCCACGAAGAAGGTGACGGCAGCGCATGCTTACATCACAGTGTTGTGTGTGTGCGTTTTGTGGCTGCGAGTTTTCCTAATCTAAGGCCGGTATTCATAGTCAGTTCTTATATTCAAGATCATCTCAAGTTCAGCCTTGAGGTGTTACGAACCAATAAGAGAGCCACATTAGCGTATTAAGACATTACTTAAGACGGTCTTGAAATAAGAATCGACTATGAATACCGACCTAAATAGTCGTCAATTTTAACCATTTTGACTTAAATCGAGATTAATATCTTAATTCGCGGTGCAGAGCGACGCTTTTCTCGGCCAGATTCATTCGTTTCAGACAAAAACGCGTCGAATGAGCCTAATTTCATCGATTTCTGAGTTGACTTGGTTAAAATAAACAATTACTCGAAATGCGAAGAGAATCAGCTGACTCTGAGAGAAGATAAACTTATTTCCATTGGAAAACTTCACTCTAGTTCGATTTACGGATCTCTATAACAGTCTGGCTGATACTTTGACCTTCATAAGAAAGGTCGAAAAGACAACCAGGGGATATATAAGAAAAAGAAGAATTACACGAAATAAATATCGCGAAACATGCGCTCGACCAAGAGCATTGTTCAAATGGTACAATCTTCTAAAACGTACCTTTTGAACTTTCTCAAAACCATGTCAAAGGTATGTCTTCTATAAATTTAAAAAACATACATTTATTATTACATTATTAGAATAATTTAATAATCAGATAATGTAAGACAATACTGTCCAAGATTTGTAGATTTATAATTCTTGATAGAGATAAAAAAGAGAAGGCAATAAGCATAAATGTTGATACAAACTAATGACTAGAATTACAAATTTTGGACAGCACTGATATTGTAAAAGATATTGGCTGTGTTCCAAAATTTACTGCTAGTACTGAAAATCTATAATTCATGTCATGTGCACTATAGATTTTCAGTATTGGCAGTAAATTTTGGAACACAGCCATTGAGTACGTTCCATTTCATACATGATGCCTATAATATATTTTATTCTACTTTAATATTTAGTGAACAATAAGAACAAATGATACGACATGCTCATCATGTATAAAACCTAACACTTATTGAGAGAAGCACTGGAGTACTTTGTAAAAACATGTTATTTATTCTAGTCTGGAGATGTAAAAATACGCAGATTTGTTGATATCCATAATGACAGTTCTTTTGGAAAGTACGCTATTGTCCAACCTTGGGTGGTTTCTGAAAAAGTTACTGTACCTGCATACATACCCCAGCCATCCTACAGTCAGTCTATGGTACCCAAAAATGGGCCAGTAATGCCCGAGATCAAAGATGAATATCAAATAGAATGCATGAGGCATAGTTGTAAACTTGCTAGTCGCATTCTGCGTCAAGCTGGCGCATTAATTGAGGTGAATTATTTCTTACATATTATATAAGAGTCCAGATTCATGTTGTCTCAGTTATCAGCTTAAAATCACAAACCAATTTTTAGATGATGACGGATGTGGTGAATCTGGAGTTCTGTACTGATAATATCTGAAAGATATACACAAGCCTTGGAGTCATAAATTTCATAAACCGAATAAGAAGAGCTATCTATATAAATTTATCGTTCACTAAGCAATTAAAATCTGTATAAGAATTGTTACATGTATGTTGAAAATCATATACTTAAGAAATAATATTTTAAGAGTAATATTTATTTATATATATATATATTTTTCTTTTTGGTTTTTGGAATGTATCCCCAGGCATCATTAATAGCTTTCAGATATATCCAAGCATTAAATATTATAATAAACTAAATATAAAACAAAATTGTTATATGCTAGCCAGGTATTACAACCGATTTTCTCGACAAACAAATACATGATATGATCATTGGTAATGGAGCTTATCCCAGTCCACTCAACTATCATGGCTTTCCCAAGTCTATATGCACAAGTGTTAACAACATTGCTTGCCATGGTATTCCAGACAATAGACCTTTACAAGAAGGTGATATACTCAATGTTGATGTAACAGTAAGTAGCTTTATTTTTTAAAGGAAAACGAAATCTTTTTCTTTATTGTTTGATAAAATGTTACAAGTTCTCTAAAAAATCCATATTTTTTGTTTAAGTAGGTATATCTTAATGGTTATCATGGCGATTGCTCAGCTATGTTTCAAGTGGGTGAAGTAGACTCAGAAGGCAAACGATTGATAACAGTCACAGAATTGTGCTTAAAGTCAGCTATTGAAATATGCAAACCAAACGAACATTTTTGTAATATTGGTAATAATATGTATATGATTAAAATCTTAACCTCTCTGTATGATATGTTATTACATTTATTTTTAGCACTGTGTAAAATCTTTCTATTTCTTTCCAGGTAACGTGATAGAAAAAACAGCAAATGAACACAATTTGAATGTAATACCTTCACTTTTGGGTCATGGTATTGGGACTTACTTTCATGGTGCTCCAGACATTTATCACTTTGGTACAAATTAAAATATTCCACTAACATTAATGCACATTAACATACAGATGACCAATACGAAATTATCTAAATCGTTTTTATAACATAATTTCTATATAAAACATTTCTTAATTTCAGAATAAATTACTATGTATTGTAAAAATGTCAAACCATCACTAATATTTTGATGCTTATTTTTTATTTTGTAGCAAATGATTTTCCTGCAAGAATGAAAGCAGGTATGACATTTACTATTGAGCCAGCTTTGAGTCAAGGAACAACAGAGATCGAAATTCTGGAAGATCGATGGACAACTTGTACAGTCGACAATTCTAGGACAGCTCAAGTCGAACACACAATTTTAATAACAGATACTGGATGCGAAATACTAACACTTTAGTCGCTTTAGTTTATGATCGGTATTATACTATTTATACAACAAAGGATCTATTGAATATATTATTTTTAGTGTACATAGACATGTATAAATTAATTTATACGTACGTTTTAGTCTAAATACTATATCCGTGTTTTTACGTGTAAAAATAAAAATTAAGAAAAGTTTATGTTTATTATTACAATGAAAATTATTAGTATAGTTACTAATATTAATTTCTTATTTCTTATATATAAGAAATAGGTGTACAATTGACGAAAACTTTTTTCAAATTTTTCAATTAAAAAAGAATGGATACTTTCTTACCCTATATATTTTTTTATTATAACTTATTTTGAAAGAATACATTACGAATACATACGAAAACATTACAATTTTATAGAATTGCGGGTCCCCAATAACTTTCTACGTCTATCGGTCCTTGTATTTCGACTCCCTTTTCTTTTGTAACAATGCCCAAATGATACTGGAAGAACAAAATAAATCATTAACAATTTAAAATTATTGATTACGCGTACACGAATTTTGATTTGTTTAGTAGATACCTTTGGGAAAGATCTTGCATCTCTGTAGAAAAGAACTTGATTTACTTTGTATATAAGTTGAATAGCTTCTTCCTTACTCATTTGGCTATTTTCCTCATAAGCTTTTCTCAGAATAGGCGTTGCCATATAAGCGCCATAACCAGTCGCAATAACAGGATCTTTGTAAGCTGTCCCAAGCTTATCTACAGTTGCCAAAAATCTGAAAGGCAAAATCATGATTCATGCTAAATCTGAAAATACAAGTTTATATTGAGTATATATTGATATTGAGTACTTACGGTTGTCCATCTTCCAAACCGGCAATGACAAAATTGTTCCAAAACGGATCAAAATTTGATCGTCTGTTGTACATGACACGTGTCAACCAGCAATGCAATGCTTTCGGCTTCAAACTAAATCCATCATCCAAGCATTGTTCCTCCAGACTAAAACAAAAATATTGATGTAAAATAGCAATGTCTTAATACTCGTCGAAAAGTCTAATGTATTTAAGGAAAACATTACACTCAGAAGAATCAAAAAGATATATGTTGGATAAAACCTCCAGCATCAGATTGCTTAGTTCCAAAAATTGAACGCCACATAGATGCTACACCTTTTTCATGTATTTTCACTAGCGTCAATTTTGATCATTCATATAATCTATTTTAATGCTGAAAATGTGTATTCAGTATCAGGATAAAAAGGCACTTTAACCACTTAATACTCATTTTTAAAATATACTATATAATCAATATCAAAATTGACTCTGGATAGAGAAAAATACATGAAAACAATGTATATACAAGATGATTCATAATTTGATGTCAATATTTCAGGGGATAAATCTAAAGTATCATATTAAAATAAATTAAAAAACATCATATGGACATAAATCTTATAAAATGTTTGAAGTGTCTGCCTCGTGCCTTAAGAAATAACTGCATGAAATACTTAGCACTTGACTTTATTTAATATTTACAAAGAATATCCATCAATATTGCAGTGGAGTAGTAAGAGTTAAAGCATGAGTCGGATACTTAACATTTTCTTTAATTATCTATTATTAAAAAATTTAAGTATGTAGAAACCTAGAAACATATGACATTTCTTACTTATTTTAGTATGTAGATTCACTCCTGAAATATTGACATGCATTTATGAGTTCAATTTTGAACTAAACTGATACTGGAACTGCTGGAAATTAAACAAATCCAACTTCCAGGCTGAAATTCACAGTCGATCCTTATATTTAAGACTGTCTTAAGATGTTCTAAGCCAATTACAGATTTAAGACATTTCTTAAAATTATCTTAAAATAAGAACGGATTATGAATACCAGCCTAAGTCATATTTATTTTTTATACAAGGGACGTTTATAAAGTTTTGCAAATGCATACAGTGAAGAGAAAAACTTAATTATTTGTGATTTTGTTGCATCATCTGTTGCTGCATGAATTTTAGACAATGACTTCTTTTAACAAGATACATGTAATAACAATCATCATCATCATTATCATCATGATGTAATAACAGTGGTTTTCTAATTTTTTTCATTTTTATAATATTATAATACAGGCTTCACAGAGTATTAACTGTCAGACACCAAGGTCCGTATTCATAGTCAGCCCTTATGTTTAAGGCTTCCTTAAATTTATCTTCAGATGCTCTACGAATTATTTCATTGGCTACTGAGCATCTAAAGATAAATTTAAGGAAGCCTTAAATATAAGGTTTTACTATGAATATACAAGTGTCAAATCAAAACTATATAGCTACATTGACACTGTTCTTCAGCATCAAATGGCATAATATTAGGTCTGTTCGCGTTGTTTGAAATCCTTAAATATTTTTGCACTTAAAATGAGATAGATATATATTTGGACGGTGAAAAGAGAGAAAGCGAAGATGCTGAGTGCAAAAAGTGCATGCAACGTGAACAGATCTATTATAGAACAATTTTCAGAAACATTTATTAATTTATCTTATGTAGTAAACCAAGAACAGTATATTTTAAAAATAAAGATGTATAAAAAATAGAATGATTATAAGGACTCACATCTTTCTTTCCACATAACTCTTGATACATTGAAAATCTGCATAATCTCCAGATGCACCAAGAATGATGTTATCATTAACTTTTATAAGACGCTCTAGATTTCTATAACGAGCAAGAGATCCATAAGATCCTAGGATATCCGCCGATATAATGACTCCGTCTTTGAATTGTACACCAATGACGGATGTACCAGTCGTTATAGGAGATCTGTAAATAATAAAATAACAGTTAGAGTAGAACTCGTCAAGTCCTTACGCCATTTCGGAAATTTATCTAATAAAGTCTCAAGTATTTTGAAGTATTTCACTTTCTCAATTTGTTCGATAAAAGAGAAGATGACATGCGAGATTTACATAGAGCTGTGCAGGTTATATACAAAAAAATTGTACGCAAACGGATGAAAAACGTTTGTTAATTATAGTTAAAACGTACTGTGATTTTTGGAATCCACCGGTGCCGTTCTGAGTGCCTGGAAAGTGATAAAATGCACCAGGAAATGGTCCATTTTGCCACAAAGGTAAAAAGCAAGGATCTTTACTGGGAAACGCCATTTTTCTATAATAACTAGTGTTCGAAGGTATCGATACGAATGCGTTCCAGTATCGATACACCTCTGATATAAATATGTCTCGAGTGGTCTCGAGCCTCTTTCCGAGTATCGTTCGGAGTATCGATATAAGAGTCGACAGGAGTGACAATGACAAGCCAACTCACACAAATGTTTATCTAGTGTGTCCGATGAATACACCTAATATTCGAATAAATGAATAAAAAATGATTGAAAATACTCATTCGAATATTACACTTCTTTTTTATTCGTCAAGAAACGAATAAATACTTTTTCATTCCATTCCCATACAGCACAGAACTTGCAGCAATAACGCTGCAATATTGCTGCAACATGCAACATTGCTGCAATGTTGCAGCATTGTTGCTGCAACTTTTGTGCTGTAGGGGTTTGAATAAATATTTTTTGAATATGATTATACGAATATTTTCGTTTCGTATTCACTTTTACTCTGTATTATCTGCACATAGCCTGTAAATCTACAAGAGAAAATAGAAATCTATAAAAACAATGACTACACCGTGTTCTTAGTTCGTGACTTATACGATAGGCGTTCTTGTTTAATCCATAGGTTAAACAAAGACATTTTTATTGGGAATAAATAATATATCTCGGAATTTAATGTCCTCAAACCATAATGAACGACGCTCCCAAGATATCTTATAAAGTGTTTGTAACATTACTGTGATGTAACCGGAATTATATCGGAATATGTATAGCGCTCTATCAAATAAATATTTATAAATAAAAAATGTATTACTTTCTAAAATATTTTTCAAAATTTCTAAGTTTCCTTCATAAAATCTGAATACTTCAATGACAAAAATAAATAAAATTCATTTTTTTTTTTTTTTTACTTAAAGTCATCAAAGCCTTCATTTAAAATAATCAATATCGAAATATATTTAATTATAACATGCATAATCTTATTTAAATTATATAAGCGTCTTTATTTTCTAAAACTTCGAAATTAATATGGCATATTCTTAGAAATGAGCAGTTTTCAAAAAATTATACAATACATTATACATGTAATACATATATTATTTTGAAATTTTTAATTATACATTTTTATCAATACAATTGTACTTATGTCTTTATACATTTTTTATTTCACTTTTTTTTCTCTTTTTTACATCACGTTATTAGCATCTCGGGAAAACATGTTATATAATGGACATATTATAGATATTATAATCATATATAAAACATGTCAATTTTATTTATAATTATGTATAATTATATATGAAACATTTTTTCCCCCGGGATTACATTTCATAATTACACATTATGCTATTAACTATTATATTTCATAATTATTTCAAGTATAATAATTTTTCATTAACCACACATAAGCATAATTTTAACATATAATCCGCATATATAAAGTTTATGTCGTAGATGATGTCGTAGATTATTATATTATATTTTTATAATCTAAATATCGAAAAAAGGAACAATTCCCAGACAGCACACAATATTTATAAAATATTTACAATATATTTATAAATATTTATAAGATTTATTTTAAATATTTTGTAAATATTTTTTGTG